CACCACCACCACCACCACAAAGGTTATTGTCCAATATTGTCCACCACTCAGTAAAGACGATGGGGGGAGACGAGTTGACTCTGTAAATATTCAGCATCCATTCTCCTTTTTCAGGGTGTCGTGGGCCATAGCATCCTTTAGCCTGTGATCAGTCACTGAAGGCAGAGACTCAATTGTGAGCGAAGGTTCGCTTTCCTTCACTGTCTAGATGAAGAAAGGCGACGCCGTCATCACCTAAGTGACAATCGAAGTGGATATTCGGACTGGTGCATCAGATGAACTTATCAATATTTGACTTTGGAAAATATCATAAATTGCGGTTACAATTCACTGACTTTTTAGTGGCACTGATGCATTTCTCATTAATATTATTACATCCTTGAGTTTGGACCAAATCAAAGCGACAAATATGAGTGGTGGGCCTACATGGATGAATACGCCAGGTGGAGATGTACACTGTCTAAAGCCTGGACCGAAAGTCCTGAAATCTTCGTGTGACTCGCGCAAAACTAAAACTGAAAAGCCCTGCAGCACCTGATCATCCCTTTAACGTCTCAGTCCACTCACCTATGGGCTTTCCACTGAGCAATAGGGACTTCGACAGAGGGGGTCACTGTCATTCACCTTCATGTACGCAGGGAAGAGATACCCCACAGGCTTAGTAGGTTTCAATTAGCACTCGTCTTTAAAAAAAAAAAAAAAAAGTGGGGGGGTCGCTTCAAATGTTGTCCTTACTGTCAAAAACGCGCCAAGACAAAAGATAGAAGCTGGCTTTAAAATAAGCAGGACTAACGGGGGTCTTTCACCTGCTAATGAGGGTGTCATTATCTGCGGGCTGAAGCTTATTATCATCAGCCAATGAATCCTGCAGGTTTTCATAAGGCGGCTTCAAAGAGAGGAGAAAACTGTTTATTTTCCACCGAAAACGCGTAAAGAGTGATTTCATTTCTATGCTGTGGCAGAGCGTTATTTCAGCCATTAAAGCCAAATTAATCATGAGTAGTAAGGTCAGGGATTTTTCAGGTTGTAGGGAACAGTGTTACTATGCAAATGAATGTTTTACCCCATCTGAGTAGTACAATAAAGTGTAGAAGAAGCTGGGAGTTAAACTGCGTTGTGTTTTCGTTTCTTCTAAAGTTTGAACCATCACTCTTTTCGATGACGGATGTGACGATTTGGGATAGATCCCGTTGAAATTGGATATTATCGAATTTTTAAAAAAGCCACAGAGGGGCAAATGGAAAACAGAAAGTGAGGCATGATGCATACCTCGACCCTTTTCTTTTAAAGCGACATCGAATCTCCGTGTCCAATCCATTACCGGGGGATGAGATTCAAAGTCAGAAATCTTTCCCGATGAGAAATAAATTAGTTGCATCATGCGTGGACGGCATTCACAAACACGTATATTTGTCACATCAATCAGGACACTTTTCCATCAGTGTATTAGAGGAGCGGGCTAATTATTTGATTTGAGATAGGATTGAGTTTTTCAGGTGAAAGAAAGTTCAACTTCACAAAGCTCGGTGCTTTACACAAACCACACACAACTGTATGAAAGTTGTTCAAAATAAATGAAAACATGACAATACATTAACACACACCATAAATAGTAATAATTTATATTTGGCCTTGTTACATGTTGACTGTAGGGTCCTTTTATTTCTTCAAGTTTATTAGGCCGGCTATTTTTAGTAGGCTAAAGTTGTGGACCACTTTTTAAGTTAAACTGTGTAATTGTTTCTTTTGCGGATATATTTTTACCACTATAGCCTGTATATTTTAATGGCATATAAAGCAACATTTTCTCCGTTGTTGAGATATTGCCTAATAACTTTATAGACCACTCTTTTACTTCTTACACTAACATTTCTTACTTATGTTTCACTAAAGTTGCCTACCGTCTTTGATTCAGCTGACGTTTTGTTTTCGTTTTTCTGTTTACTGTAGTTTTATTTTTAAATTTTTTCGTCCATCTCTGTATCCATCACTTTTAAGAGCAACACACACACACACACAAGGAAGAGTATGATTATACAATAAGGCTTTATACAATAAAGCCTTGTTGTATAATTTGCTGCTTTTTTGTTATTTAAAAGTTGTTGCTTCAGTGCTTTATGGAACAATACCATTTACGATGTAGCTATGGTTTAATTGTTTAATTGTGTATCTGTATTTATCTTTGTATTTATCTGTATTTATCTTTACTTCTACTCGACTGCATGGGTTTTATATACATA